GTGCACCCGCGCCCGCGCCGGCCGCCCGCCGCCAAACTTTGCGGCGCGCACACATGCTCCAAGTTGGGCGCGGCGGCGGCGGTGCGGGCGGGCGCTGAGGGCGGCCCGGGGCGCGCGGGGGCCCGGGCGGGCGGCGCGGCGCGGCCATGAGCGGGCGGCCGGCCCCGGTCTCCCGCAAGCAGCGGCTCATGGCAGCCGTGGGCGAGCGGGCGGCGGGCGGCGCGCCACTCTCCTGCTTCATCTGCGGCGGCGGCATCGGGCGCGGCAAGGAGCTGAAGCTGCAGGTGAAGCAGCCGGCGGCGGGCGCGGGGGCCCCGGCGCAGCCCTTCTTCCCGTTCCTGCAGCAGCAGGAGCCGGCGCCCGGCGCGCGCGAGCTGTCCCCGGCGGACGGCTGCGTGCTGGTGTGTGCCGTGTGCCGCTGCTTCCTGGGCGAGCAGTGGGCCGCCTTCGAGCGCGCCCGCACGCCCGTGGACAAGCGCATGTACTGGCTCAAGCGGCCCCACCAGTGCGACGCGGGCGCGGGCGGCCGCCGCGGTGGCGCCGGGGCCCCCCGCGAGTGGAACGTCGCCTACGCGCTGGGCAGCGCCGCGGGTGACGACGACGACGACGGTGACGGCCCCCGGCTCCGCGGGGCAGCCGAGGGGACGCGAGACTCCGACCTGTCGGAGCTGTCGGACACCGACCCCCTTTCCGAGTCCGACCCGCCCGCTCGCGACGCCTCCAGCCCCCCCCCAGGACAGGGCGCCGGCGCCGCGGGGCCCCCCGGGGCCAGGGCCTCGCGGGGGGCGCGGCCAGGAGTGGAGGCCGGCTCCGGGACCCCCTCCGGGACCGGGCGCAGAGGCCCCGGTGCAGGGGCGCGCGGAGGAGGAGGGGCTCCCTACGAAGGTCCACGCGGATGGGGAGCCCAAGGCCGGGGTTAGGCGCCGGCGGAAGGGGGTTGGGAGGCACTGGGTTCCCGAGGCCCGGGCCAGCGTCCTGAGGGGCATTCAGGATCCTTGGCAGGGCCCTCCTGTCCAAGAGCCCCCTGCAGATGGTATGAAAGGGCCCCCCTCCGGCAGGGCCACCAAGCCCCTGGAGAGCAGGCCTCTGGGGGACACCCTTCGGGGCTTCTGCACGTCCGAGGACAGTGACATCAACATCACCAGCGGGGAAGAGGATCACAAGGAGTCGCCTTTCCCAGGCTCCTGCAACCCCAAAGAGAAGGAGAACAGTGGCCGCGGCCCCCGGGCCCTCCCAGACAGCCGGGTGGCACTGCCAGAGGGCCTTTGCTGCTACATCTGCGGGTCTCCACTGTCCCCGGCCTCGCACCACCAGGTCCACGTGCAGAAGCAGGAGAAGCTGGCGCAGGCCCCGTTCTTCCCCTTCCTGTGGCTGCACAGCCCGCCCCCGGGGGCACAGCCCATCAGCGAGGGCGGCAGCACCCTCGTGTGCGCCAGCTGCTTCTCTTCCCTCACGCAGCAGTGGCAGAGCTTCGAGCTGGCCAACGTGCCAGTCCTGCAGCGACTCTACGTGGTGCCCCTGGACAGCCACGCCCCCGGCATGGCCTCCAAGGGCAGGAGACTCCCCAGGGAAGAGGGCCTGCCCCCTGGGGCCCTGCGAGAGGCCTGCTACCTCTGCGGGGAGGACTGTACCCCGGATGCCCGGGCGGTGCCCTCCAGGATCCTCAACGGCAACGCTAGGAGCGCCATGCATTTCCCTTTCCTCAGCCTCCTGCCCTGCCCACCCAACGCCCAGGGCCCCAACAAGCGCTGCGAGGTCCGCAGCTGCCCCAAGTGTTTCAGCGTCCTGGAGGACGTCTGGGCTCTGTACCGGGCCTGCCAGAGGGAGGAGCTCATCACCTCTGTGCAGGGCTTCCTGGGCAGGTACCACCAGGCCTTCTCCGCCTCCGACCCTGCCCTCTCTGAGCTGCCCGCATCAGCCCAGGGCGGCTCTGTGTCCATCTGCTACATCTGTGGGGCTGAGCTGGGCCCCGGGAAGGAGTTCCAGCTCAACGTGAACCCCGCCAGCCGCTTGGGCGAGAAGGAGCCGTTCTTCCCCTTCCTCACCGTGTATCCACCCGCCCCTCGTGCCAGGCCTGTGGACTCCACCGGGCTGGTGGCCACCTGTGTGCTCTGCTACCATGACCTGCTGGCCCAGTGGCTGCAGCACGAGGCCCGCAGTGCCCATCACGCTGTCAGCGCCTGGTCCCGGCAGTACCACGTGGAGACATTCGTGTGCTTCTTTTGCCAGCAGGAGAAGAAACGGTGTTTGGGGCTGAAGTCTGTGCGGGTGGCTCGGCTGCCCTTGTTCCTATACACCCTTCGAGCAAGCCACAGCCTGCTGGTGGATGATGGACAGCAGCTCATCATCGGCGCTTGCGTGGAGTGTGGGACCCTGGTGTGTGCGGGCCAAGGGCTCACCCGCCAGGGGCCCATGAGCTGGAGCTCCCCGGTGGCAGCAGCAACGAAGGTAAGCAGCAGTTTTAATCTCCAAAATCCATGCAGAGAAGGGAGAGATGTTTTCTGTTCCTCAGAAAAACTCGGAAGGAGGAGTTTTCACTGGTTCTGTGCGGCGTGTTCTGGGGGGGTACCCTCCCTGAGTCACTGGGCTGGTACTTGGTGGGTACGTTGGCTTGGCTGACCTTGGAGGCATGGGTCAGCGGTCAGAGCAGTGCCGGTCAGGAGTGGTCTTTGGGAAGAATAGGGCACTGCTGAGAACAGCAGGCACGGGCCTGAACTTGGGTGTGTGTGCAGTGGGATCTGTCACACAGAGGAAGTTCGGGGCATGTCTGTCATCCGCCTGATAACATTGGTAATTAGTCCAGCCGTGCAGGTCACAGAGAGGTCTGTGCTCACCCGGTTTGAAACACATCAGAGGTGGAAGTGTCTCTCCATTCTAGCTCCCGTGCAGCTTTTCCAGAGTTTTCCACCCAAATTCACACTGTTACTTTGAGACTCTGCTTGCTTTACGGCTGAGGGAAACAGGGTTCCAGACATGGGGGTGTGGAATTCGAGGGACAGTGGCCTAAACAGACTTCATCCAGCGGGGAGAGTGTCTTTCTTCTCTGCAAGTCAGCTGTGCAGGAGGCTGACGGGAGGCCTGGTGTTCTCTCTGTTTATAAGGCGCCTGCCTTCCCGCTGCCCGCCGGCGAGGAACCAGGCGGGGCTCGGTTAATTTGGGATCTGGCTTTGCAAGGGCCCAAGCAGGAACTGCCCCCGGTGCGTCTGGGGAGGTAGATGTAGGCGTCTGTGAGTGGCGGTCGCCAACCTGGCTACTGGGGCATGGGTCGTCATTTCTGCCAAAGGAAGTCAGTGCTGCTTGCTTTAATCAAATGCCTGTAGCGGCAGCTGCTGGCCAAGGGCGGGCAGAGGGACTTATGGATGGGAAAGTTGGCGCTGTCCTGTTCAAAAGGGTCATTCCACCCCTTGAAAGCTTCCTGATCCTGCCTTCCACCTGCATGTGTGGGGGCACGTAGGTGGGATACCCGGGGGACATGTTCACTCACAGTGGCTGCATCTGGCAAGTGGGCTCTGCTACACCTGGCCCATCCTCCCCCAGTACACAGCCCCCGCCTTCACACTCTGCTCAGATCTCCGTTTCTACCGATGACAGCTCTGGACTTTCAAGCTGTCTCTGTGGCTTTGGTGGGATGGCCTCTCACTTTAATTGCGCGAGTGCACTGTCTCCCGTCACGATGCTGCAGCTCTCCTCTGCGGCATGTAGCGGCGCAGCCAAGGGGAAGCAGAAGGGCTGCAGTTCCTGAAAAGGCGGAAACTGGCAGAAGAGACCAAGTTTAGGAGCAAGACTGGCCCCAGTTCGTTTGCTCCTTACTGTGGCGCTGCAAAGCCTTCTCATCTCATTTACAGATGAGTCCACCGAGACTCAGGGAGGTCAGACGACACTCACCCAGCAGGTATCTGAGGCGGGCTTCAAAATTCCGCCCTTTCTCTTGCTAGTTAAGCACCTGTGAGTTCGTTTCCTGTCCTGGTGGAATGTCAGTTTCGTTGGTTGAGAAATGGAAACATCCTGGCTGCCTTGTAGGGACATGGTGGGAGTTAAATGGACTGGGGGAAATTTAAGTCCCACACACGGTCAGGTGCTTGTCCCGTAGTGGGACCCTCACGCCCCCCGCCTTGATGCATAGGAGCAAATTCTTGGATGTAGTTGGTTCTGTGTGCAAGATGCTGGCTTGCAGGCTAGGGACCAATTTTACATATGGCAGTGGTGTGTCACAGGGCAGTCGGAACTCTCGGCAAGGGCTCAAACACAGGGTTTTGTACAGAACGTCCAAATTCGGATGCATTTTCTCGTGTGGATTTGCTCACATGTCAGGAGTTGATGGGGTGCTGCCCATTGGCCTTGACCGATAAGAACTCCAGGAAGCAAAAAGCCACAGTTTCCCAGGCAGCTGGGAGGGGGGAGTGGACAGGAACGCAGGCCGGTGTCTGCCCAGAAGGGGTCAGCGTGGGTTTAACAAGGTTTCATGCGTATGGACGCCTGCTCTGTTACCTAGTCGCCCCTTATATGGCCCTCGAGGCCTTCTCATCTCATTTTATAGTGAGTCCACCAAGACCCTGAGCAGTCAGACGGCACACAGCCAGTGGGTTGCTGAGGT